CCATAATCTCCATCATACTCTCCTTGACCATCCCGAAAATGATTGGGGTCGCGTCAAGGATGCCCCTGGTAACCTCGGCTGCAATGAGTTCGCGCAGCCTCTCATTGGCGGCATCAGTAGCATCTCCTGATCCCGCCCCGGATCCAGACCCCAATCCTGATCCTCCTGCTCCAAATCGCGTCATCACCATGCTGGACTGAAATATCATAAATTACAATGATCAGGATTTCCATATAAGGGATCTTCCCATAGCGGTCCTCCTTGAAATCGTCAGATCTAACATTGGTTTGGGTACAGGTCTTGTGCTTTCAGTAGTACGGGCGCAATACTACCTTCCACACCTACATGTACCTTTCCCCAACGCTCTACCTGATAACCCCAATTCGTCCCAAAACATATCCATATTCCACAAACTACCACATACATTGATCTCAGGATGTCCTAAGATTTACTCTACTCATACCAATCAGACCAATCATAACAGGTTGCCTTCATGCATGCAAATTATACACAGAAAAGGATCAAATAGACTTTCGAATAAAATATTCTACCCTAGGACCACAACCAGACAAGGAACAGGAAATACGGCCAAATCAATCATTCTGACGCTATAAGCTCCTAACCGTATACAATTTTAAAAGCATACACATAGCAAGTTCCATGAAATCAACAAACTCATATATCAGTATAGCATGGCTAATATATTTAGGAACTACTTACTTGGCTCGGCTGATCACGCGCATTGCACTCTCATCTTTTCATTCCTTTTTTGAAAACCCTTTTAAATTTTTTTTTTTTTTTTTTGAAAACAATTTTCACCGTTTCCTTAGTTTGAGTCCTGACACACTCGAGAGTGTGCCCGAATCCCTCAAACCAAGGCTCTGATACCAACTTGTAACAACCCAAAAATTTTCAAGAAATTTTCGTTTTTAATTAATAAAACACATTCGCATAATCCATGAAATCCCAACATAATTGTTTTCAAATCAGTATTCATTACAACTTATTTGATTCATCAGAGTGTCCCCAAAACATGTCAATAAAAGAGAGATAGAGTCCCCCAGAGCATACCACACACAATACACATACACATATCCTGTTAGCTAATTAAAGCTACACACATATCACATAAGCCATGCATACATAAAACATGTAAGAATGTCATGGGCTACCCCACATGGTCTTTACCTAGGACTGCCATGGGCTCCCCCACATGGTCTTACATCCAACGTCATGGGCTCCCCCACATGGTCTTTACGTAGGACTGCCACGGGATACCCCGCATGGTCTTACATCCAATGTCATGGGCTACCCCACATGGTCTTGACCTAGGACTGCCATGGGCTACCCCACATGGTCTTACATCCAAAACATGCCATTACATATCATATCAAACCACATAATGACTAATACATAAATCATAATCACATAATGGGCCGACCTTGGTGCCTTAGACCCATGGGTATGGTGAGAAGACTCATCTCTGCCTGCTGAATACAAAAGCTGTTCGCCTAACGGTATGTAACCCCCCGTGCTTAATAGTATTATTAAACAATGTTAGGACTTTAGTTATTCAAATGGACCCAACTCCAAACCCTTCCCTAAGGCCCAATTATCCATCCCTTGCTAATGGGCCCAAAGTCCAAGTCCAAAATCCCTAATGGGCCTCTTGGCCCAATAAGGCCCAATCAATATGTCCATGGCCCATAATAGATGATATGACCCATAATTCTCAAAATACCACCATGCCCAATAATCAAATGAGGCCCAATATGAATTCGGCCCAACTGTGATGCGTACGCTTAGCGTACCATCCTGGTACGTGCAGCGTACTGGGGTTCTAGGGCTTACGTGCAGTGTACACTGGGTTACGCCCAGCGTACTAACAGATTAAGCACTTTTCCCATTAAGTGCTTAATACTTGATCCTTTTACGTCCAGAAGTCAGATCCAACCCCATTAAGACGACCTAAGGCATAAAGTTGGCAACTTTATGCCTTTGCATGTTTCAACTGCTCCCAACACCCCCATTAAGTCATGTGTAAAGCTCTTAGCCCATGCATGAGGTCAAAATACCCATCAAGACTCCATTTTTATGTTGAAAAAGGACTAAGGGACCTCAGATCTGTCATTTCCATCCTTGGAGTTGCTTAACTCACCAATGGAGATCCAAACTCAACCAAAAAGGGGACAAACTAGAAAACCCTAGCTAGATCTAGAGATTAAGAAGGAAAGGTCCAAGCTTTTTACCTTCAGAAGCTCCTCAAGGTCGAAAATAGTCAGATCCTTGAAGCCAAATGACACTCCTAGCTTCCTTGGCAACTTCTTCTTCTTGGATGAACACTAAAAGAACCACCAATGCACTCTTAAGCTCAAGCTGCTTTTGGGTGTTACAAACGAGTTGCTAGCTGCACTCAACGAGTTGGATCAACTTTAACTGTTTGACTTTGACTTTGACCAAGGGTGGACCAGTTTGACTCTTGGGGTATTTTGGTAATTTGTAAATTTATGGAAATGGTCTTATGGTAAATATAGGTGGTGGAGTTAGTGGCGGTGGTTCGAGAGTTTGAGCTTATCATTTCAGTTCGACAGTTGTGAGGTGAGTTCTCCTCACTATGCTCAAGGGTCTAAGGCACCAAGGCCGGCCCTTTTTTATTGTTACTCTAATATGTTATGCTAGTATGAGTTGTTAGATTAGCATCCTGGTAGATAGGATTGTATTATGTTGCTATGATTTGTAGATCAGTATCTTGGTAGACAGGATGATGTTATGCTAGTATGATCGGTTAGATCGGTTTGTATGTCTATAGACTATTATGTGATTATCTGATATATGTGCACATGTCGATTGGTGGTTGAGGCTCCTCTGCTTTGTGCGAGAGCCAACAGACCTGGGCATTCCAAACCGATGGTTGTGGGCTGTGAGTATTCCATCCCGAGGATGATTGGACTCGTAATATGAGGGCATTCCAACCCGATGGTTGTGAGCCTGGGGTATTCCATCCCGAGGATGACTGGACCTATAGTATGAGTGACATTCCAACCCGATGGTTGAGGGCCAGGGGTATTCCAACCCGATGGTTGATTGGACCTATTGTATGTTGTTTGTGTTATATGTATGTTGATGTGCGTATGGGTATTTTGGGGGAACTCACTAAGCTTCGGGCTTACAGTTGTTGATTTTGTTTCAGGTACTTCTGATGATCGCGGGAAGGCGAAGGCATGATCGTACACCTCCTGTTGTTTATGATTTGATTCTGGGATATTTTGACACTGAACTATTTTGGAAACAACTTTTGTAATAATCAATGGTTTTGGAATATTTTTAAAAGTTTAAATTTGTCATGATTTTTATGGATGTTACAATGAATATTGTGTTGACTCGTTCTGCACATGTGAGAAAAATAAAGAGAATATAGTCGTTACAAGTGTTAGAAATATTAGTGGTAATAGCAGGATCCTGAGATATGTTTAAGGATCCTGAGGCTTTAGAAGTATTTGAGGATCCTAAATATGAGTCAAGGATCTTGCCCCTAACAATTGCCCTTAAATTATACCTGCGAAATATAAACCGTTGGTGTTTTAAATATTTAGAGGTATAATTTTTAAGTAAAACTTGAAGTAAGAATTTCTAACGGATAGGTAATTTGAACTTCAACGGGTAGATTTCTAGTCGTTGGAAAGCTCAAATCACCTTTCTACCTTTCATTGATTCCCATATAAATAAGATATGAAGCTCTTTAATTTCATCTTACTCTTAACTTTTCTTCTGGAGGTTCATTGAACATCATCGAAGGTAGTATTTTTATTCATTTTGTCCTTCGTAGTTTTCTTTTTCTTAAAAATGACCAAAAAAGAAGTTCGTTCTCGTGCAAACATCATAGCTATACGTAATGATGATTTCGTAGATCAGAAGCTCCTTTTCTATGAGGAAACTTTTACCTTCGATGACGATAGTATTGAAGCTTTGAGTTCGAGTGGAACCTTTCCCACTAGTACTGTCTTCAAGCCTTTCGATGTTAGGATCCAATCTGATTTTATTTCTTTTGTTTGGATTTGTTTTCCTGAGTATCCCTTTACCTTAGGCCTTGCATATCCCTTTTCCGGGATTATTTCTGAATTTTTTGAAATCACCAAGATTTCATATATTCAAGCCATGCCAGAGGTTTGGAGGATCATTTATTGGATTGACAATCTGAATTACGACCTTTCTACCTTTGGAAACTCTAACCTTTTGTTGAAGTTAAAATCGACGGATCACCTCTTGTACTAAAATCCAAGCATAACGATGGTGCTTGGAAAGGAAGTTAAGCATTACCACTTTGATTGGGTAAATTTGAAATATGTTCTTTTAGCTATCACATTATAGTTTTATAGTTGCCGATATGTGTCACAATTTAATAATACCGTAACATTTTACTTTTTAAAACAAACATCTTATATATCATTCCAATAATTTTTATATGAAAGAAGAAATACATCTTTCAAATAAACAATATCATTGTTGACAAATCCTGACACTACTCAGGCTCTGTGGCCATGGAGGTTCGTCTGCAGTGACTTGCATAAGACATAGCCTCATGTTAGCAGTTTGATTAGTCGATGCGCGAAAGCTGACCGAATACCTTGTTAGGGAAGTTTTCATTCAAAAAAAAAATCATTGTTAGAACTTCCAAGGATCAAAAGAGTACAATATTGACTTTATAAGAAAAGCAAAAGGATTTTTCAAATTACCCGGATAAATTGGAGCAAAAGGTTGCTACTTGCTAGAAGTGGCTCTCGCACACTCGATTCCTGTATCTCATCCAAATTGCACACACATATGGACACAATCCACAGTTGGAAGACAAGGTCATCTCGACACTCGACTGCCCTTAAACAGCAATCACCTCTTCTTCAATCTTGAGTCACATCCAATCTATACCCAATTCATAAAAACCATCGATTTCTGTCCCCCTTTTCTTCCAAAACCCTCAAAGTTTTGATCATCTCCGTACAAAAATGGAGGGCACATTCCTCCCAAACAGACCAGCTCTCCCTCTCCAGTTGACAAAACCTACACAATCAACCCAACAACAAAGACTCGGATTCAATCCAACAACTCTCCCACCACAACCACCGTCGCCGCAATCTTTCCCCATTGATCCTCTCGTCCAGCACCTCATCCACCTCTCTTCACCGCCACCGACCGCCACCCACAAGCAGAAACCTATACGATCAGTAAAATCAAGTAACACCCACATCGAATTCCCTGCTACTCGCAGTTACTCAAAAAAGCATTCCCCCAATCGAACACATTTCAGGAAGCCTTATTCAAGTTCACTCCTTACCCTTGAAGACCCCAAAGTTCAGTTGGCGGGTATTGATGGTGATGGTGATGGGTCGCTTGATTTTCTTTCAATTGAGTGTAAGTCTATGCTGGATTCTATCTTGGAACAGACTTCATCCAGTTTACATTTATTCTTTTATTCCGTTAAGTTCAAGTTGATTGAACTCGATTTGGTTAGCCTATTAAAGGGTTTAGATCGTTCGGGTAACTGGGAAAAAGCCCTTTCTTTGTTCGAATGGGTACTGGAGGATTCAAGGACTAATCAAAGCTTCAATATTGACAACCAAATGATCGAATTAATGGTCAAAATCTTGGGTAGGGAGTCACAACATACGATCATGTCAAAGCTCTTTGATAAGTACGGTGTTGGGGATTATTCTCTAGATGTTCGTGCTTTCACTACTATTATCCATTCCCATTCATGTACAGGAAAAGTATGAAAAAGCCATTTACTTGTTTGATCGCATGAAAGCAATTGGACTTTCCCCAAATTTAGTTACTTACAATGTAATGTTGGATGTTTATGGGAAAATGGGTCGTTCTTGGGACAAAATCTTGAATCTGTTAACCGAAATGAAAACCGAAAAGCTTGAATTCGATGAGTTCACTTGTAGTACAGTGATATCCGCATGTGGTAGAGAAGGTTTATTAGAGGAAGCAAAGACATTTTTCGCGAGTCTAAAAGCTCAAGGCTATAAACCAGGAATCTTTACATACAATTCTCTACTCCAAGTGTTTGGGAAGGCCGGAATGTACTTAGAGGCATTAAACATCTTGAAAGAAATGGAGGAAAACAATTGCACACCCGATTTAGTCACTTATAACGAGCTTGTGGCTGCTTATGTGAGAGCAGGGTTCCATGAAAAAGGGGCCGATTTAATCGACACAATGGCTCAAAAGGGTCTAAAACCGAATGCAATCACGTATACAACGGTTATAGATGCATATGGGAAATGTGGAAAAGAAGATAAGGCGTTGAGTCTTTTTAATGTAATGAAGAAATCCGGTTGTGTGCCTAATGTTTGTACTTATAATGCGATTCTTGGAATGTTAGGTCGAAAATCCCGCTCCCAAGAGATGATGGAGATTCTTCTCGATATGAAATCGAATCGAATTTCACCAAATCGTGTCACATGGAACACGATGCTTGCTATGTGTGGGCAAAAGGGTATGCATCTTTATATGAATTGGGTGTTACGTGAGATGAAAAGTTGTGGTTTTGAACCCGATAGAGACACATTCAACACATTGATAAGTGCATATGGGAGGTGTGGTTTGGAAATTGATGCGGGTGAAGTTTATCGGGAGATGATTAAAGTCGGGTTTAATCCGTGTATTACAACTTATAACGCGCTTTTGAACGCCTTGGCTCGTAAAGGGGATTGGAAATCTGGGGAATCGGTGATTCTAGACATGAAAAGTAAAGGGTTTAAGCTTAGTGAAACCTCATATTCTTTGATGCTTCATTGCTACTCAAAAGGGCAAAACTTTAAAGGGTTAGATGCTATGGCAAAAGAGATATACGAAGGGAAGATCTTTCCAAGTTGGATGCTTCTTAGAACCCTAATCCTCGCAAATTTCAAATGTCGATCACTTTCCGGGATGGAAAAAGCATTTCAAGAATTGCAAAAACACGGGTACAAACCGGATCTTGTTATATTCAACTCCATGCTTTCGATTTATGCAAGAAACAAGATTTATGATCGGGCCCGCAAGATTCTTGATTTGATTCATGAAAACGGATTGCAACCGGATCTCGTGACTTTTAACACATTAATGGATATGTATGCAAGAACTGGCGAGTGTTGGGAAGCCGAAGAGATTCTCAAAAGTGTACAAAATTCGGGTAGAAAACCGGATCTTGTGTCATATAATACCGTGATTAAAGCGTTTTGTAGGCAAGGTTTAATGGATGAAGCTAGAAGGGTACTTTCGGAAATGACAAATAACGGGATTCGGCCATGTATTGTTACATATAACACGTTTGTTGCGGGATTTGCGGCTCAGGGTTCGTTTTTAGAAGTAAACGATGTGATTAGTTATATGATTGAGCATGATTGTAAGCCAAATTTGTTAACTTATAAGACAATTGTGGATGGATATTGTAGAGCTAAGAAGTATCAAGAAGCGTTAGAGTTTGTGGGGAATATTAGAAAAATGGATAGTTCGTTTGATGAGCATAGTTTGCAAATGCTTGCTTCTTGTGCTCGGACAAATGTGTTATGACGATTTTGCCCTTGAAATGTTATTCGTTGTTTCACGGGTTGATGTTGCTTTTGAATATATTGCCCTTGCAATGATGAACTTCCATGGTGTTGTTTCAAGATTTGAAGGGCTTGCAACAGAAGGCAAACATTGAAGATCACCAAAGGTACATTTGTGAAAGGGAAAATTGTGGGAAATAGCAATGTTCTTAACTCTTGCTTCCAATGATATGGGCATTGTACTTTATTTCTTACCCATAATAGCAACATACTTATATATCTGTTTGACCTCAAAAGTCAAGCTTCAACTCATTAACTCTTATAAATATGCTATGGAGTAATTGAAAATCTTTATCTTTTTTCCAGTTATTCTGTTACTTCATTCATCAAGTTATATCACTATTGAGTTAAAGATTTCTTATAAATAATAATATAGATCTCATTCTTGTTATGAAACACCTCTGTGAAACTATAAAATTTTCAACGGATTCAAGTAAGGCTGGGTTTGTTATATGTGACTGGAAAAGCTTTTTAAGGCTATTTTAAATGATGAGAGGGCATTTATGTCTTTTTCACAGATTAGAGATTTAGAGCTGGTCGTTGTCCCACCTTTTTACATCTTTTTGGGTGGGATAAAAAGTTGCAATTTTTTGTCCTATTGACATTCGACTCTTAGTCTATTTTGGCTTAATAGGGTTCAGTAATTTGCTTTTGTTCTTTTAAATGTATTTTTGTAACAGATTTTTAACCAATTTGTTCTTTGCAGGAAATAAAGCTTCAAGCAAAATCAAAGGATGAAGGGTTTTGTGTTAGAGTCCAAGATTTTAAAACAAAAGTTATGTTTTATTTACTTATTGGTAAGAAAGTATCGGGTCTCTTTTTGTATTTAGAGGTATGTTTATTTATAGATCGGAATTTTCATGTAAATGTTTGTAATTTATACCAAGAATTATGGGCTTTTTGGATCATATTTGTGTGTGATTCATTTTACATATGCTTTGCCCTTTCATCTTAGTGAATTCCCGAACAATAATGTTACAAAAACGTGTATCCTATGCAATAAAAATTATAGATTGTTTTTTAGTTTTTTTATGGTACTTGGTGGATCGTGTGTGAATTTAATTAAAATGACCAAATTGAAAGCTATCGTACAACTATCTGAAATTAGATACATGCTTAAATGAGTGGGTTCATACAATTTTGAGTAAGGACATTTAGGGCTCGTTTTGTTTTAAAAAAGACTGTTTGGGCACTTATATCTGCAAAAGACCGTTTGTTTTCTGGAAGACAAAAGAACTCAAAAAAACTTCTTTTTCACTTCTTGTATGAAGGCATACAAAAATACTTTTGGTCCACGTCTTCTGCCGCAAATACGGAAAAAGACTAAAGACATTTTACCACTTCCAAAACAAACACCACCTTAATGTGTGTGTGTTGGAAGACAAAAGTATTTGTTGGAAATACTGCTTTGTCACAACAGTTTGTAATATTATTATAAATGTCAGAGTTACTTTGGGTTATAGACAAATATAAACGATATTGATATTGACAAAAGATGATTTATAAAGATCTAGTTTGTTAATTAATTAAGTTTTTAATTAATTAAATGAAACTTGTAGATCTATATCGGCTTAAGTGTACTAATCAGAAATTCAAATCATTATCAAATTTAAGGATAATGTAATTATCCCTTAAGGGTTTAATCTTTCCCTATGAATAGAGGACTTCAAAATCGGATTCAAGAGTAATAATCCAAAGTGAGAAAAACCCTAACATCTCATTTTCGAGATTTATAGGAAAGAAAGGAAAAAAAAAAGATAAGAAGAAGAAAATAAAAGTTTATTTTCCTTTCATTTCTCTTCTTTTCCTTCTTTTTTTCTTGCTCTCATTTCCTTCATAATCATCCCAAATATGGGAGGAAATATTTAATGTAAAATAAGTATTTTTTTTCCTTCCATTTCTTTTTCCTTTCCTCCTTAACATTATGTTCTCAACTCTCAAGATTAAAAATTAAAGAGGAGGAAAAGGGACGAGAGGGTAAAGAAAATGAAGAATATGGAAGGAAAAATGGGAGATGATAGATGTGTTCTTGAGTTTAAGAAGAGGGAAAGAAAAATTATTGTTATATGACAAATATACTTTTGAATAGTGTTACAAACCTGAAACTAAACTCCTTTTGCACTTATCTTTTAAAAAAAATCACGTTAATTGTAGATTATAGCATCCTATTCTTATTGTTGTTGTTGTTATAAAATCTTTATTTCATTACTTCTTCTATTACTACATACCAAACACTATTAAATATTTTTAAAGATACAAAATATAAATATCAAAGTATAAGACATCTAAAAATTTATTCGAAAATTGCATCAAATAACTTTATCCTATATGCAAAACATTCAATGTATTATATACTAGTTTTTTATATCTTTCTAGATTAATTTTTTTTTTCAAAAATAACCCTTACAATTTTTATTTTTATTTTAATTTGGCCATTTTAGCATTTTACCGATAATCTTTCTATTTTATATATTATTATTTTTTTTCATAAAAACCTTCATATTTTACAAAAAAATTTTGAACCAACTATTTTTGGTTTGGATCATTATTACTTTGTTTTTAATGTTGTAGTTGTTGTTTATGTTGTTGATAGTTTTGGACATTAAAATATGACGAAGGCATTTGATTTTTTTCAAAATATAAAGAAAGGATGGCGTGTGTGATTCTTATTGGCCAAATGGATATGAACATTTATTTTAGGATTCTTGTGTAACGTCCCAAAAATCATAGTAAATTTTTTATTAAAAAAAAAGACATTTCCATAGAATTATAAGTCACCAAAGCATTGTTTTACAACCATATCAAAATCAAAGTAATAAATCAGAGTATCTCTCAAAACATGAAACTAATAGAAGATGTGTACAATCATGCATTCTGTAACGTCCTAAAAATATGATCCAAAATTTTCATTTTTAATTTAAATAAAATAGTATTCCAAATACATTATCCATACATCTCAAATGAAAATAAGTATCTCAATAACATAACAATCAGAGTGATTTCTCAAAAGTAGAATCCATGTGGTGTGTGCGATGCACTCATCCCGAGCTCTTCCCCTTGGAACCGGAAGTACCTGAAACATAAATTGAAAACCGTAAGCACAAAGTTTAGTGAGTTCCCCAAACTACCTCATACCATACATAATAAATCACATATTGGGCCCCCGCCCTACATCGGGCCCCGCCCGGCATCGAGCCACACTCGGTTTACAAATTTGTTATTCTCAGGCCTCGCCTGTCACTGGGCCTCGCCCACTATACACATACAATTTATATCACATAATCATGCTAACACATATAATGATCATAAACACTAGCATATGTTCAAGTCCTCAGGCCTCGCCCCGGCATCGAGACCCGCCCGATATACACACATAACACATGCAAGGGTCACGCAGACTCCTAACATCCTAGCATAATCAATAAGGGCCGACATTGGTGCCTTAGACCCGCTAAACCCAGTGAGGAAACTCACCTCGAATGTTGAATCTCACCGAAAGAAATCCTTAGTTGCTGCCCTGACGACTCCCCGAGCTAAACAATCCAAACAACACCCAATTAACACTTGGGTTCCAGTCTATAACCAATAATCCATACTTGGGGTAAAATAACCATTTTACCCATGACCTAGTTTGAACCAAAACTGAAGCCCAGATGCACAAACCAAAAAAGCCCAAAACCAATTGTTCCTCCAAGGCCCACTTATGGCCCAATTTTCCAAATTGGGCCCAAACCCCCATATGGGCCTTACCCTAAAGCCCAATAATTTTCCTTAGTCCAAAAGCTTGATTTCAGATGGCCCAATAAGGCCCAAAGCAACAAGGTCCAAAGAATTGGCCCAACCGAGGCCTAAAAGATGCAAAGCCCAATTAGACCGAGTACGTGGGGCGTACTCGCTGCATGGCTTGTACGATGTGCGTACTGACTTGTATGCCCAACGTACTCCTCCATTAAGCCAACTTTTCCATAAAACTCTTAATGCTTAAGTCCAACGGTCCAAAACATAGATCTGAGTCCCAAAGAGTATCTAGAACCATAAAGTCACTGACTTGGTGACTTTGCATGCCCCAAAAGATCCCAACTTCGATTTATAACATTCTAATTTCATAAAAATGGTCATAACTCATGCATGGATTGATCTAAGCTTCAAATATGACAACTTTATGAATCTAGGACCAATAGAACACCAAGAGTGGCAACTCTAAGCTTCAGAAGTGATATTAAACCACAAGATCTCATCTATGGGACCAAAAAGTGTCCAAAACTCAAACAAAGGAGATCTAAAGCTTCTAAAAAGCAAGATTAAAACTTTATACCTCAAACAAGCCAGAAATGGAGCAGATAATCCAGATCTACAATCTCCTCCTTGAACAACCACCTTGCTTCAACCTTCTCCTTCTTGAAAATGGGACAAAACACACCAAAATGGACATTATAAGCTCAAAATGCAAGAGATAGGCTTAGGGTTTCGAATATGATGCTTAAGGGTCTGAGGAGGCTAAGAAATGAGGGTTTCAAAATCCATAAGGATGATTATATAGTGTCCACACTTGAAAATTAGGGTTTTCATTAAACCTTGCGTACGCCCCGCGTACGCGTCCGGAACCTCGACCAAGCATTCACATGAGTACGCTAAGCGTACCACTTGGTAAGCCCCGCGTACTCGCTTTACAGCTTGTACGCTAAGTGTACCTTGTGGTACGCCCCGCGTACAACATAAGGACCAAATTGCAACTTAATAAATACACAAGGACCATAAATAACATACCATGAATTCAAGTGTTACAATAGACTTCGCCCTCGAAGTCCACTGTCTCGAACAATTCCGGATAGGGCTCTCTCATCTCATCCTCGGGCTCCCAAGTCTACTT